TTTACTTGTTCACCAGTTGTTGGAATTTGGGGTTGTTTCCAGTTTTACTTTTATGACTAAAGTGTCTATGAACATTCATGTACAAATCTTTGTGTGCTTGTACATTTTTTATTTTCCTAGGTAAATAGGAATGGTTTTGCTGGGTCATAATGGTTAAGTGCAAGAGTTGTAGGTGTTTCACATCCTCGCCAATTTTAGCCATTCTTGTGGGATGTAGTAGTGTTTCATTTTAGTTTGCATTTCCCTAATGTTGAGCATTTTTTCCATAAGTGTATTGGCCATTCTTACATCCTTTGCTGAAGTATCTGCTCAAATCTTTACCTTTTTTTGCTTTTGGGTTGTCTTGAGTTGTAAAAGTTCTTTATATATTCTGAATACAAGTCCTTTGTTGGATATATGTGTTTCAAATTTTTTTCCCAGTCTGTGGCTTGCCTTTATTTTTCTTAGTAGTGTCTTTCAAAAAACAAGTTTTTAATAAAGTCCACCTTATCAGTTTTTTCTTTTTATGGCTTATACTTTTTGTGTTCTAAGAAATCTGCCTAACCCACAGTTACAAAGGTTTTTTTTCTGTTTTTTAATATAAATGTTATAGTTTTAGCTCCTACATTAGTTTTATAATCCTTTTTGGGATAGTTTTTAAATATGATATGAAGAATCAAGGTAAACTTTTTTTCCAGGTCTTAAAATCAGATAATGTAAGTCTTCCAACTTTGCTCTTTTTTTTTTTCCCCCCAAAAAAAATTGTTTTGGCTATTCTAGGTCCTTTGCATTTCCCTGTAAATTTTAGAATCAACTTGTCAGTTTCTATAACAAAGTCTGCTAAGATTTTTATTGGGATTGTGGCAAATATATAGATTAATTTGGGGGAAAATCGACATCTAAACAACATTGAATTTTCTAATCCATTGGCATGGTATAATTTTATTTAGGTCTTTAATTTCTCTCTACAGTGTTTTACAATTCTTCATGTACATATCTTGCACATCTTTTGTCAGATTTAAGTATTTCATATTTTTGATGTTATGGTACATAGTATTTATTTTCAGTTTTGATTATCACTAGTATGTAGAAATAGAATTGATTTTTTTTGTGTATCGAACTTGTATCCTGCAACTTTGTTAAACTCACTTTTTCCTTCTAGTAGCCTTTTTGTAAATTCCTTATGATTTTCTATACAGATAAATCATGTTATTTATGAATAGAGAGTTTTATCTTTTCCTATTCAATCTCATGCCTTTTATTTCCTTTTCTTGCCTGATTGTACTAACTAGGACTGGTAAATGTTGAATTGAAGTGCTAAGAAAAGTGTTCTAATTCTTTGGGGAAAAGCATTCAGTCTTTCACCATTAAGTGGGATGTTAGCTGTAGGTTTTTCATGGAGGTTGAGGAAGTTCCCTTCTGTTCCTGGTTTGCAGAGTTTTATTATAAATGGGTATTAAATTTTGTCAGATGCTTTTTCATGTATTGAGATGATTATGTGAAGTTTTCTTTTAGTCTATTAATATGATGGTTTACATCAATTGCCTTTTCAAATATTAAGCCTACCTTGCATTCCTGGGATAAATCCTACTTGGTCAGTATATATTAATACTATCTTTTTATGTATTACTGGATTTAACTGGCTAAAATTTTGTTGAGTATTTTTACATCTATGTTCATGGTATATAGTCTCCCTTTCTGACATGATTTACTTTTATTATTATTTCTTTCCTGACTTCCTTTCATCGTTTCCTGTTACCTCACCTTCACCTCACGTTATCTGGTCATCTCTTCCCCAGGTCATCTCTTCCCCATGTCTTCCCCATCCTCTTACTATTGTCTGTTCTTCCTTGGTAGCGACAATTGCTTCACTAGGTTTTTGTTTTGTTTTCCCTTGTGTACAAATGTTTCATAATTTCATTTATTTTAATTGAAAGTTCTTTTCAAGTATTTTTGTTTGCATTAAGGAAGTTGTACTGCTTTCTTTTCACTTTTTGGTAATAGTGCCTTGAGTAGTTGCTGTGTTTATACCACTTTGATACTCATATTTGAATAAGTTGGAATTTGCAGGACTAGCTATTAGCAGGAGAGTCCCATAGAAGAGCAAGATAGGCCAGGGTAGATTTTTAGGTTTTGCTACTCAGGATCTCTTCCTTTTTTACTATGGTGTAGTCACAAACTCCTTTGCCTCTCAGAACCTAACTTGACTCAAGAAAGCTTTTTATTCCAGTCCGGTGCACTTCGTATTCCTTAACCGATCTCTTCCTCTAAGCCCTGTCTTCTAAAGAGTTTATTTCTTCTTTAGAAGGTGGTGCTTTTTGAGCTCTCTCACTTCCAAGGCCCCTGTGGGGACTTTCTACCTTTTTTTTTTTTTTTAACCTTGCTCATATGTCGCTCCCTGTTTGATCTTAGTCCTACCCACAGCAGTCAGAATGGGGCTCTCTTCTGAGAATGGATATTTACTGTCAGTCTCTGAGACTACTGCTGCTAGTTTCCTCTGGACTCCCTGTGCCTCCGTACTGTACCACCAGAGCATCGCTTACCAGTTCTGTGGGTTTTCTCTGACTTGTAGTTTTGCAGAAGGTGAAATTGTAGGTTTATGGGGATTTTCCCCCCTTCTTTGTTTCCTCTATATTATTTCCAAGAA